ACGAGGTAGTGGGGTCATGACTTTTAAAGAGAAGGGAAATAGAATAAATATATATATATATATATTATATTTATTTATATGTTAGGAGAGAACAAAGGAAGAAACAAAATCAATTCGAAAATGGACTTAAGATACATGAGTGCCCCCTTCACAAGGAGAGAAGAAAAGTTCGGTTTCCCATCAATGGGAGCATCCTTCTTGATTGGATCCATATTTTATGCTTTCGTAAATTGTACTGTCCATTGCTTTGGTTGCCCCACACTCAACTAAATTTCGGAATATGCTGTTATTTATTTATATTTGGGAAGTGGACAACTTATGTGACACATATCAAGCCCTTTACATCTACTCTATAACCCTTAAAACTAAAAAGATTTAAAAATAAATTCTTTTTCTTACAAAATCAAAATATAAGTATTTTTTGTTTTAACAATTGAAATCTAAAGAACAAATTACAAATGCTGAAATTCAAACTTTGAATTCAACATATAAGTACAATTTGATATTGTTAACCCGATGCATGTCAAAGTTACAAGTTTTCTTTTTTTTTTCTTTAGGTCATTATAAGAAAATTTATTATCCCTCCCCCCCCAAAAAAAAAGGATAAATAGCCTTTGGGTCAAATGTCATTATCTTAATTGTTGGCATTTTGCTCTAGGTGCGGAGTAGTTTGTATATGAAGATGAATTCGATCAAGCATGCTTTTTTTATCATTTCTTCTAGCTAGATATCTAATATCATTCTGATTTATGTATTAATGTCAAGCAATAATTATTGGAGAAGAAGAAGAAAAAGAGAGAATAAAAAAATATGACCCACAATGGGATTGATGCGTGATTCTATGGGAAATGTGGCTAAAAAAAAATTAAGATGGTTTTAGTTTAGTCACACATCTTTTTCTTGAAAGGGAGACATGGAGTTGAGAAGGTGTTGGTTGCCTTTCTTGACCATTTAATTATAAAATATTTGCTTTGGTTCAAGCCCTTATTAATTTTTTTTTTTTTATAAAGTAAATTGCAATTTGAGAATAAGATAAAAGAGTATAAGTGTTAGGATTTAAATTTTAAATTTATGGTATATAATTTTTTTTAATAATATTTGCATTAACCAATTGATTTAGCTGATTAATTGTTTGAGTGAAGGTTTTTAAATTTTTTTTAAAAATGAAAATTTTATCTATTTGGATTTGGGATTCCAATGTGCCATGCACCACTCAAACCTAAAAAATTAGTGCTTAATTTCCCTTTCACAATCCCAACAATCTTCAAAGATACCATATTTTATGCACTTTTGTTTCTTTATTGGAATCAAATCTATGCACTAAGAAATTATCAACCATTTAGTTAATCACCATTCCAATAGATCTAATGAGATATTTATATGTGTGTGTATAAATATATATATATATATATATATATATCCCTTTTTAATTGTTGAGACCTGCACATCACAAGGGTGCAAGTGATGAAACTAGGTAATATTAATTGAAAATTAAGATGATGGTTCCCTAGTCACAAGGAGTTATGCTTCCAATATTCTTGTGTTTTGTTATGCACATGTTGGCATTATTTAGTAGAGAGTTTCCTTCTTTTTCTTTAAAATATTAAGTTTCCATTTAATTATTTTAAAAGAGTGTGTTTGAGTTTTTGACTCAGGGAAGGTTCATGTATCGTTTTATTCAAAAAACTGAGTTTGAATCTTTTTCTCATAAAAAAAAAAAATTTGGGGAGGGGGAGATATTTTATTAGGGTTTAACAATAACCTATAATAATAATGTTATTTGGAAAATAATAATGATAGTGTAAACTTGGAAACATTAAATAAAGAGTTATTATTAATATAATATTATTTTCTACAAAATAGATCGTAATCTAAAAATTAAAAAAAAAAAATTTAAGTGTTAAAATATAAACTCTAACATTGTTTGATATCACCCGTTATAAGATTGATCTGTAGATTTTTTTTTTATTTACTTAAAAAATTTTGAATTCTCATCCACAAATAAAAAAAAATAGCCAACTTTTTTTCTTGGATTATGTGATGAATCATTGAATAGAAAAGATAGAAAAAAAATTGAAATATGGACTCAAGAATGGGCAAGAAACTAATACAAAAATCAAATGAGGACGAGATTTCAACATTATAATTAGTGGGAAAAATTGATGCTCCGCTTGTCACAACAAAACCCAAAGAGATAAACTTGGAAAGCACACATAAAAGGAGAGATCATTAGTTTTATTTATAAGAAAATGATTCTCTAACTTTTGATTGGATTTCTATTTATAAAAGGAGAGATTTACTTCGAAAGCACACATAATTTTTTTATTTTTTATAATGAAATTACATTTGTATTATTGAATAAGTAATTATGTATGAAATAATTATTACATTAAATAAAAAAATTTAATCAAACTCATATAATATATATATCGATGTGAATATGTTAAACCTTAAATCTGAAAAAAAAAATCTTGAAGTCCTTGCATATAAATATATATTATATACGTGGGATTAAAATGTATCAATTTTATTATAATTATTTTTTATTTTTTTAAAATACATGAAAATTTTTAATTAATTATCGTTTATAAAATTTAAAATTTAATTTATGAAAAAGAAAGAAAGGAATTAGTTAGTACAAAAAGGTTAGTAATTTATGAAAAAGTTGATTTAATATATTATATGATATCTATTTCTCAAATTTAATTTTTTTATCAAAAACTTGAAATATTTAGTTGTTGAAAGTGGTATGGTTCCATATACAAAACTACCTTTTAAGAGAACAATATTCTAGAAAGTATTAACTTATTTTTTTAGATTAAACTTTCATTTTGTATGTACTTTAATTTTTTACGGCATATAATCTTTTCTATTAAGTTAACAATTCGTTTGAGACTTTTATTTTTAATTTTTGTTATTTATTTTGTTATTTTATATTATTTTTTTAATTTTTTAAATAAAAATTAAAGGAAGATTGCCTTATCAAGTAAGGATAGTAATAAATCCGAGTTAGGACGGATTTTTTACTCATTTTAAATTCGATTCGATAATTTTTTTATTTTAATCATCATGAATTTGATCTTATCAGATATTTTATAAATATTATTCGATTTGATTTGATTTAAATTTAATAAAATATTATTTTCAAATATAAATATAAAATTATATATAAAATTAAATAATTAATTTAAAAATATTTTTTTATATGTATAAGATCGAATCGAATCAAATTTACTTAAAACTCAATCTTGATTTGACTTTAATTTTTTTTATTATTATTCGATCTAATCCAAAATTTAATTTAAAAAATATTAATTTTAAAAAATTCAGTCAAATCAAAACTCATTAAAGATGAATTAGACAGATATGCCAACTACCAAGTCACCATGAATTAATAAACGATGCAAAGAAACCAACACTTAAATTCTGCGGGTTTTTAGTTTCATAAAATAATATAATATAATTAAACGAAAATTACTATTATTCCCAACATATATAGGTTGAAGTATATAAATAAACGAAAAATTGTAGTATCATACATGATGATGGGAAAATCAAATTTCATAGGAAAATTTATATGATTCTCACGTATATATTAATTTGATTATAGTTAAAAAAGTTAATATATTAAAAAAATATATGTTTTAATAAAACGGCCCTTTTTCATAAAATATCTTTGATTGATTAACATGTGGTATTTTTTAAAAATTTATTATATGATAAATTTTTATTTTTATTTATATGTGATGAAATTTGTTAAAGTGATAATATATCGTATGGTTGTATTTATTAAATATTAATTTTTTATGATTTTATATTTAAGTTAAATTTTTTATTATTAATAATTTTAAGTTAGATAAGATTACCTTTCCTTTTAAAATTTTATCACTTTTTAAATATTACATTATTATTTAAATAAAAATGATAAATAATAAACAAAAAATCGACTTCTAAAATACGCCAAAAAATGCGAAAGACACGGTTTTAGCATGAGAGAAGAGAAAGTCTTTTCGTACTTTTTGTTGAGCGTTGTTTTCCCTTTTGTCCTTTTAACCCACTTTTGGCTCTAACCCTTACTTTCACCCACTTGTTTCTCGTGTCTTATAAATAAATAAATAATTTTTATTTTTAAACATAAATATTTGTTTATTTTTAAAAAGATAATAACTATCAAATTAAAAAAAAAACCGTGCGTTTGGTTGTGTGCACGAGACGAAGGGAAAAAAGAAAGGGGGAGAGTGGGACTACTGTGAAACAGCGACAGCTCAAACAACAGCGACATTTGCGCGCGTCCGACGTGTCAGCTTTTGCCTCACACCTGTTCCTTTCACTCCGCCCTTGTTGACTCGACCCATAGCCGCGCGTTACAATACGCTCCTATTGGCCTTTTTTTTAGCTTCTTCTCTTCCCATCTCTCAAGCAGATGCCCTCACTAGGTCCCACTCTTTACCCTTTGTTTTTTGACTTTTGCCAACATGCGCCATCATTTTTTAATATGACCCTCGTCGTCGTTATTATTATTATTATTATTATTATTATTATTAATCTTTGAATTCCAATAAAATATTTAAAATTACTTATGAACTTTAAAAAATTTTAAAATAATATTTAAATTTTAAAAAATTTTAATATGTCATTTTAATTATAAATTTATTAATTAATATAATATTTAAAACTTAAAAAATTATTTTATTCATAATATATCATTATTTAAAATTAATCATATTAAAAATAAAATTTCATTAATTAATAAATTTATATTTTAAATATTATATTATAAAATTTTAAAATTTAAATATTACATTAAGTATTTTATTATACTTAAGAAATCATTCATCATATTAACTTTTATTTTTATTTAAATATATGTGATATTAAGTAAAAAAATTATAAATATTGATAAAATATTAAAATTTTAATTTCAATAATTAAAATTTAAATTCTAACATCTTCAAATTCAAAAAAAAAAAAATCAAAAATTGAATTTAAAATTTTCACTACATCTTCATTAATTTAAGAAAAAATGCAAATTGGTTGCAATTCCCCCTTTCTTCTCTAAGGATTTATGGACTTAAATGAACTAATGGAAAAAAAGCACATACTTAAGGACTAAAATCCAAAGTAGAAAATTAGAAAAAAAAAAAAAAAGAATTAACCTAAGTAATTACAAAATTTTGGGTTCCAACATTTTTTTTTTTTTTGTTGGGGGGTTGTGTATTTTTTTTCTTTTGTTATTATGACATGTTAACATGAACAGTAGCATTCTTGGTGGATTTGCAAATGGGGCAAATGCGAAGGCTAGACCCACAAACAGTACACAAGCACAAATGCCTGCATGGTAACAGCAACACACACGATTCCCCAATCCCACAATTCCTGCACAGCCTGCTGCTGCTGCTGCCGCCTTCTTCTTTACAATAATTGTCCTTCAATTTGTTCTCCCCTCCTTCCCCTGCTAACGTGCGCCTCTCCACTTCCCAACTGCTGCCACAACAAGATTGCGCATCATCAACCTCATCTGCCGCTGCCTCCTCTAATCCTACGCCACGGGTACCCTCGTCCTTAACCTGCATCGCGAGGACTTGTTCTATGTTGTTTCGCAGGGCGCAGGCCGTGGCCTCATTAGTTTGAGCCAAATCTCTCCAAATTTGATTCTCTATGCAAAGTGATTTCACCCTTTCTTCAAGTGCCCAATTTGATTTCCCAATCTTCTCAATTTCTTCTTCTTTGGCTCTTAGTTTCTTGATTACCCCTTCTTCAATGGACTCCATTATCTTCCTTGCTTGCTTTTTCCTTTTTTCCTCCATTTCCATCCTCACTTTCTCCATCTATAAAAAAAAAAAAAAAAAAACGAAATTCAATCAGTATTAAATTTTCAACTTTAAAATGTATTAAAAATGAGAAGAAAAGAGAAAAAAACTTACGTGTTGGGAGAGGAGGTGATCAATATCTAACTGGTGCTGCTCCATATGAAGGGAAATATCATGGCCAAGGAAAGAGAAAGAGGAGCAAGTTTTGTTGTTCTGGTTATGGGGTTGTTGTGGAGATGGGAAAGAAAGGATTGGATTAATGGAATCTCTTGAACGCTTCCTCGGTAGGGGAAGATTGTTGTAATTGATTGCCGCTGCAGCCTTTTGATACATTGAATCAGCAGCCAAAGGGTTGTATAAAGGAAGCAATCCATCGGTGGCCGCCGTCGTTGCTCCTGATAATGGTACCCAATATCCCATCTGGGTTTGAAACATATTCACGTTTGCTTCAATGGGATTCATCATTTCCCTGTAAAAACAACCAAAACAAAAGTCGACGTTAAACGTTCCGTTTTCTTCGAGTATTTGATTCAATAATAAGTGCGCGTAGATATTGGGGTTTAGAATAAACCTTTTTCCTGAGAATTGAGGGTGGAAAAGATTGAGATGCCTAGCTTCAACTGACATTAGATTAAAGAAAAAAAAAAACTATTTGCTTTGGTTTTGAAGAAGGACGAAATTAGAGAGAAAGAGAACAAAAGGGGCATGCAATAGAGGTTGCAAGGGTGTATGGTGGGATTTATTTAGGGTTTGGTTGGGTTTAGAGTTAGAGTCAGAAATTAAAAAATATATATAAATTTTTTTAATTTTAGATAGATTTACATAGAGAGAAAAGTAAGGTATATAAAAGCAGATTTTTTTTTTGGTAAATATAAAAGCAGATTTGTTTGTTGGTTTGGGTGCTTTTGTCTATCTTAGGATTCGTTTACCAAATAAACCTCCTACTTGACTCCAATAATCCAATTCAACACGTACCGTAATTCTAGCAAGTTTTTGGAGGCATTTCTGAAATTATGAAACCTGGTTGTGTTGAAAGATTTAATAACTGACATTCAGGTATCTGCCACGTGTACATATCCACGTAAGCAGAGCTCGTGTTTTTTCCCTCTCTTGAAAGTTTGAAACAATGTGACAACCATGGGGTCCAGGAGAACACGTGTGGAGCAGGTTGAGAAGAGGATGAGGACAAAGTAGTGTGGGGACCACAGGTGAGATTGCCATCGTGGCAGATAGTGGGGCCCACGTAGCGGTGGGGATTTATTAAAGCAGGCGTGGTACGTTGTAGCCGGGCGAGGAATTGATTTTTGATTCAATTCATGCTGGTCGCATTGGAAACGTTAGCTTTATTTTTTGGCATTTACTTATGCCACGTGTCAAAATTTCCTTGCCAAAATTAATTAAATTCATAAATCAATTTTCTTCTCATGCTCCTCTCCTCGTCAACTTGGATAATAAGTTTTCTCGGTAAACGACGTGTCACAAATGGCGTTCAATTGCCATCATAACATCATCAAATTAGATTTTTTTTTTTTAACCGATAAGAATTAGACTTTCTTTTAAGCCTTTTCATGCATTTACTTAGATTTTATCTTATCTTACGATTAACTGGTAAAAAGTCATATTCATTGACTTTTAGATCTTACCATTTAAACGAGCACTTAGAGATTGTAATTTTTTTTTTTTAGTTCGATAAGTATATATGAAATTTCGGGATAAATTAAGAATTTAAAATAAAGTTTTATACTTTTGGTGCTGTGGTATATGAAAATAATTATAATTTAAAATATATACTAATTTAAAATTTAATTAATTAATTAATTAATTTTTAAAAAAAGTGTGGCAATTATTAGAAGGGAAATTAATCAACAATAATAACAGAAATTTTAGCTTAAATACAAATTTATCATTTGACTAATTTGATAATTAACAAGTCTCAAAATTACCCAAAAGGGAAAAAAAAAAGTTAATTAGGTTTATGGAAAGTGGAGTCACATCTAGGCAAGGCAAATGTATTGGAATTGGTGGAGGGAGGGGGGGGGGGTGCATATAAACGTTAGATTCAATGTAACTGACCTCAAAATGAAGACAATGATTTTATTTCAGAATGGAACATTTAATATAATTATGGTATGGTTTTTAATGTGCATTATCGTACAATTTAGGTGCCACTATAACGTGCATAATGTTCAATTATTGCCTCTACATGTTTGATAAATAATGCTAATAAAGTCAAGCTTTGGTTTTTTTTTTTTAATTCTTAATTTATTATTAAATCTCTGTATCTTTATACTTACCTGTTGAATGAAATAAGTTTAAACTTAAAAACGTCTTCCAATAAAAAATTATTTATTAATTAAGTTTTTGATATTTTATTGTAATTAATCAAATTTTAAATTTTTTATTTTAAATCAATTGAATCTTTAAATATTTATTTTTATTCAATTGAACCCTTATAAATTTATTTTTACTTAATTAAGTCATTGATTGGACAAAAACAATTAATTATTTTTCGAGCTCAATTAATAAAAATAAAAAATTTGAAAGTTTAATTAATTAAAAAAAATTAAAAATTTAGATAATTATTAAATTTTAATTCAAAAACCTTTTTAGCCCTTTTTTTAATAAAATATTACATGAATATCTTCGAACCTATAATATTTAAATGTTACCTCCAATATTGATCCAAAAATTAGTTGACAAGTCAAACTTTGAGTTAATACAAGGAGACGATGGCTTTGAAAATTTGGAAGTTTACATTCAATGAAAATTTCGTAATTTGTGAATGCTTATTGTTTATAGCCAATACAATCATAAAAAAAATCATATTAGCTCAATCAAAGGCTTCGTACAATTATTTTTAATAAATGATATTTATTCCAATCCAAACACCTACAAATTTATTCTCTTACCTCTAGACTATAACTTTTTTTGTAAAAAAATAAAATAAAATCAACGAATATAGATTCTCACTTTTTATTAATTTAGCAAAATTATTATTATTAACTTGTAGATTTATGTATGTTTATATATATATATATATATGACAAAATTTAATAACGTGGTGTAACTTGATTTGATTAAGTATACGCTTGATAATTAGGAGTGATTTATTTTATAATTTCTCGATTGATGAAAACATTTTTGAAAGAATTATGTTAGTTTTTGGAAAATTTTTATTCTTTGGTTGAATTGAATTCCATGGATGATATTTTGGTTGTTTTGGATGGAATTTCCAAAGAAAAGGGGCATGATTTCTTGGAGTTGAATTTTAGGTATCCCCTAAAGTTGGTCTAAATTCATGTAAGTTGATGACCTTGAAAGAATGGAATTCAAAATCTCAACGAATCCACCTTCAATTCTCGCTTCCTTGTAAGATTAATTTGTTGCTTCCGTACCATTCTTCCGCAATTGAAGGTCACACCTTAACATGTTACACAAATTTTAGCAACCTTAGCCACTAAGGTTTAATGTTGGAAACTATTTTAATCAAGAATCACCTTTGAAAAGGGAAGATTGAAATTTGGAAAAGGGTTTCATGACAAAACTTGTTAAGATTCCTATAAATTTGTTTTCATAATGAAGATTGATATATATATATATATATATATATATAAAGAAAATTATTTCGTTTCTTGGTGGTGGAATTTTTAGACTTCATTGACAAAGTTAAAAGGTTATATTTTTTAAAAATTTTTTATGAATCTTTTTTTTTGTAAAAATAAAAAGGATCCACTAATCAAATGCAAATTCAAATACATATTTCTTGTGTGTATATATATATGTGTATGTGTGTGTATATATATATATATTTGTGTTTGTGAAATTTTTTTTTTTAATTAGGAGAGGGGAAGATTCAAGCTCAAGCAGAGGGATTAATTCATGCATCTATTATCCCAAAATTTAAAAAAAAAAATCTAGTTTTAATTGTTTCCCATGTCTCTTCCTTATGATCTCTTTGATTTTATCATATTAAAGCCGGATATGAAGATGTGCCATTGACCAAAAACCATGTAGATTTTAGTTTCTTGATTGATGACGGTACAAGGACAAACACACAACAATAATTTCATATGTCACATATATAGCAACAATAATGTACTAATCGATGCTTCCTAGGCAAATCTACTTATTGATTGATTAATAAACTTAAAATTTGAGCAATATATATGATCTCTGACTGGTTTCCACTATAGTTTTAGCATTTTTCAATGAGGTTACCTAACCAAAGATTAGACAAATTAGCTTCATTTAAGGAGACAAAATGACAAACATGTCGGTCCTTTGATAAAAATATAAAAATTTTGATTTTGCTAATTTAAGCTTCAAACTAAAGTTTTGTTCTTATTGCACTTAAAATTAATAGGATATAGAGATAAAGATTCAATTTGAATATAAAGTTTAATAAATGTGAAATATCAACTTATCATATATAAACGTAATTATCACGTAACAAATTTAAAAGAAATACAAGGCAAAAATTACAAAAAAAAAAATCAAACTTTGATACCATATTAAATGAGTTATTAAAACGGACGTTTTAAGGAGAGATATTAATATACTTTAATTTCACTTAATAGGTTATTAAAGTTTTAATTATCATAAAGTTTCATGGCTATTTATCAAATTAAATTTATAATTCATAAGATAATGTGCCTTGCAAGGCAGGCCGTATAGAGAGGGAGGACTATATTTTCATTCAACCAATCACAGAAATCATAAAAGAAAACAAATTATAAAAGGTGAGATTTACTTTAATGTAAAGAATAGTGGAGATATGGAGGGGGATCATGCTTGTTTGTGGTGGTTCCCCTTCAACTTTTTTCTTTCACTCAACTTATTAAAGTTATTGTGTTGTGTATTCTTTCATGTAATGTCCAAATCTTTTACTCTCTCACAGTACACAATCATAATCTCAATATATTTCTCCCCTATTACTTCATCCCCACAAAGATATTAGTAAACAAAATTATAACTTTCACTATGTCAGATTGATCATTCCTCTCCCTAGACTCTTCCTATTCTACTTTTATTTTCATTTTGAAAAACGAGGATTCGAGTCTACCATTTTTTGAGAAGAGGATAAATGACTTAGGTTTCATGTGTATTCCATCGCACCAAAACATAAGGTGATTAAAAGTCAATTTGAATCGATTAGATCAATCAAAATCAAGTAAATTTGATTGATTCGGTTTGATTTATTCAGTTTTGATTATAATTAAGTTTTTAAATCGGTTAAAGATCGATTTTTAGTTTTTAAAATTGATAATCAAACTGATCGAATTAATCGATTTTTTAATAAGTAAAGGTAAAAAAATTGAGATAAGTATATTTATTTACTTTTTTCTTGTAAAATATTGTTAAAATGATTAAATTTTTTAATGATTTAGTTTGAATGATACTTGAGTTTGAGTTTTAATTAATTGAATTTGTGATTAAATAATTATTCATAATAAAAAAATGATAAAAAATTTGATTATTTAACCAAATTGATAGAACTGAACTAATTTAAATTGGTTCGGTTAATTAAAAATTTTCAATCAATTTAGTTATTTTTTGAATGAAAGTCAATTAAATCAAAATTTGATTTTTTAAAACCGAACTGACTAAACCTACCAATTACTCACTCCTATTAAAATGCATTTGGGTAGCAAACATTTTTCAATTATAGTAATCAATTACTTTTGATAGGATAATCCATTATTATATTCAATTTATCATTGTTATATTTATATCTAAATATATATCCTTACAATTTATTCTATCTTATTCTTCATCATCATCATCATTATTATTTTCAATATAATCATAATCAATCTCGCCGTTAATTTAAATAAATCTTTAATCTTATTTGAACTGAAATTTAAATTTTAAATTTATTAAATGATATTTTTTAAAAATTTTATATAAACTAATTGAAATAATCTACTTTATTTACAAATAAATAAAATACATATATAAAATGTCATCAAATTTGACCGTTAGGTTTGGGAAAGAAACTACAGCTGTGGGGTCCAAATCTATTCGATTTTCTAATTTCTTTACTAATTATAGAACTCAATGGTGGCGACCTTTCCTTGGTAGCAGAAAACGTGATCTCGCTATCAAATTACATGAGAAAATGATTCTCTCAAATAAGTTGATCAAACTTGAAATTGTAATACCTAATTTTCGTCAACAAAAGCTAGGAGAGATAATCTATGATTAGCAGCCGGCTTTCAAAAATTTTGAGATGCATCCCATAGCTAGCCACCTAAGCTATGTAATTTGTTTTTACGTGGTTCAATAGATAATCATGAATTTCTACAGATTAAATTCTTGATTAGAAATTCATGATTAAGTGATTAAGAAGCTTATCGAATGGCATACCAATCATATTATAAAAAAGATTAAGAGATATTGAAAATAATATTTTCAAACATGCTTTTATGTTCACTCAAATCAATCAAATATACGAAAAAAAAAAAAGCAATGGAGAGTGGAAAGTGGTAAAAGAAGTAGAGAAGATGTAGAATAAAGAACTATGCATGTCTAGTCTGCTTTTTTTTTATATATATACGAATGATGATGTGATTAATTAGATAAATGATCGTTTACCTTCAAACAATGTATGAACATTGAAGATTTGGCAGCCAAAGTGTTGCTACGTGGCATCCAGTCCACATGCAAAGGAAGGGTGATGACCCTTGGAAAAGATGGTGAGTCCTGTTTTTTTGGGTATCTCTATCTTTCAGTGAGTCTGATTTCATGTATTTTTTTTTCCCTTCATTAATGATTAGATTTCTAGCAATATGTTTCTTTGGATCCCTTGCAGTTTTGCTGCCTTATGTTGCTGCTGTCTCTTGGATGTGTGCTTTTGCTGATTAATCAAAGTCCATAGAAATATAATTGGGCATCTAATAAATATGCCGCACTTGCAATTGCAATCGACCGGAGCGGCGAGCCCAAGATTGCTTAAAATTTAAATAAAAAAAAAAAGAAGGAAGAAAGAACATATTAGAGACCACTCCAGAAAAATAATGTAATCTTCATCAAGACAATGGAAAGACAATATCGAAACAAGAATATACCATGAGCCTTTAAAATATATAAAAAAAAAAGAAAAGGAAAAGCGTATTCCTCAACCAAAATATTAAGTGGATGGTTCCATTCTTTCCAAAATTCTAGCAACCAATACTTTTTTTTTTTTTATTTAGCGGTAAAGGGTTTTTGAATTTTATTTCGTATATTCCTTTTTCGTATAGATCAAAATAAATTTATTTATATCAAATTTAATAAATTTATGAAAAAAATTATCTTTTTACAATTTTTCAAATTTAATCAAACTTATATATAAAATTAAAAATATATTAAATTATTAAATTTTTTAATTTAATATTTTGATATTTAAATTTTTTATTGAATGATTTTCTTTAATTTATTTTAATTATAAAATTTTAAATTTTAATTTAATTTATTATATTTTATTATTTAATTAACTCAAAAATTAATCGAACCAATTAAATTATTTTTTATCAATTAATTGTTAAAATTAAAAAATTTTATTTGATTAATTAAAATAAAATAATATAATTCAATAATTAATTTAATTTTGAATAATTCGATTCAAAATTAACCAATCCAGACCTCTGCCCGTTATATCTCCGTATCTTCTCTACAAAATGAAAAATGAAACATGGATAACTTCAAAAACCAAAGAAAAATGACCAAGAAAGAACCTTAAGACCAAAGAGTGAATTTTCCTAAAATCGAACCATTCACAGACAATGTATTCTTTCGATTACAGACAAGTATAGTCACTTGTGTCTTGTTTGATAATTGAACAGTGAAATCCATTTCAGTTTATGAAGGGATGTGATTTTGGCAAAACAGCTCATGCTGGTTGCATTGGAACTCCATACTGATTTTTGCAGACGTGTAGTGGCTTTGCCTTCTGTGAGAATTGTCCAGTGTAAGTGCAACTCAAATCAGGAAGAGATGGGATTTCAGCAGAACAGCTCATGTCCTGAACTGAAGGTAGAATAAAGGACAAGAACCCACCAAGTTGAGATCTTGCAAAACAATCAGGAACATGTTCATGGTGATTCCTGCGGACACAATAACATAAAACTCGTTCTGTTAAAAGCATTCAAAAGCAAAAGACCAATGGGGGAAAAGCAGAAGAGAATAAGTATCAATTTGTTCTCAACAAGGGTTAAAATTGTCATGACAAACCAGAATGAAATCACCCAACAATGCCACTACTTCAATAACATAAAAGCTTTATAGTCCATGAACATGGTTGAACCATGTCACTGTTAAAAAAAAAAAAAAAAACCATTAAAGTGCAACATCCAATGCTCTTAAGTATATATTCATGTCAATGCAAAACCGACTTACATTAATCGGTACGTTCAAAATACTCAAGAGTCAGGATAAATCCAGAAAATTTTTCATGGTGTTAGCGTTGATGCATGGTTAATGCTAAGAACATGAAAACTAAACTGTGTTTGATGAATGCTTGTATAATAATGAAACATAAACAAGATATGTACAGTTACAGTTTGCTGACTGTTGACTGGCCTGTCCAGGTTCCGTTAGGCTTAATTCCATATCATGAGTTGCAGTCCAACCAGGTTCATATGCTTCAAGTAACCCAATCTTTGCCTTATTAGGTAGATCATGAGGATGAACAAACGGCACTCCATGTGGCCACCCAATTTCCATTCTAATATTGGCACAAGGGCTATCTGGTGCATGAATGTGATTCTCGCACTCTTTTAGGTTACAAAACCTTAGTTTGATGCCCTTCTTATCCGCAATTTCCTGAACCCTTTCCTTAAGCACTCGTTGTGCCTCAAGCCGTAACCTCTTGGAAGGAGGCAGAGGTTTGCATCTTGTATCATTCTTCCTTCTTCTAGTCAAGGGCTTCATAGATCCTGTACCAGCATTTCATTGATCCAAGGACCTGCTGTTAAAAACTTCTCACTAAGGCTACTTGAACAGAAAACTAAAAAGGATAATCCAACATCGAGGTAGCTCAGCAAAACAAACAGCAACAATTTATTGTTAGGATTAGAATGCCGAAAACTCTTTCTTCTTGTTTTTTGACTTTTGAGTAAAAATATTAATTCAATAATAATCCCAGTCCAGAATTGTCCAACTAACACCAAACTAGTTAAAGACACTCCTATCAGTTATTATTAATATTCTACACATTTTCTAGACTTGATCTATATTGTTCTTCACTTGGAGAGCTAGTCAGACAATGTTGAAAATATTTTTCCTCTATGCATTTCAAGTGTTCTGTGAGCAAAAACTTCAGTGAAAACACATGACCTGTCACAGTCAGTTTCCTGGCTCCTAGTGACAAAGTCTAGAATACATCTAGTAAGCAATTCAAAAAATAAGCAGCTTTGATGCAATCTTAAGAATATCTATAATACAGCTTGGTAACTAACAGACATAATAGTCTGTCTATACTATTTGGGGAGAGTAAAAGGATGAAAGGGAAATTTGACAATCAAAATCTGATAGAAGAAAAAACAAGGTCACAGAACTAATTTTCAATGAAAATCGACTGCTTATAACTGGGAAAAAAGATAAACGAAGTAGCTCAAACCAGCAAATCCCATCATTTTATTGCTTTTTCTGGGGCCAAATCAAGTACTATAAAAAAATGCGAATATGTATAAACTATAAAGAAAAACTGCCTACCATCTTGGGTTGTGGGGAAATTGTAACTCTGGAAAGTATTTCTATTAAAGAGCTGATCAGTTGGGTGAGATCTCTGCATGAAGTCATCCACTGGTACTGGAAGCTGGAACTGAGCTTCAACCCCATGACCAGCAGCTCTCATCTCTGAGCAACTGAGACTGGTCATAGATTTGGGCATGAGTTTGAAAGCCAAAGAGCATCGTCCATACGAGTTACCTGGAATATTATTAATCTCTGTCCTGTGCAGTGCTGGATTGACATAACCTGCAGTAGCTTGATAAAGTGCGAGTCCAGGATAAACAACTGCTTCTTGTGGACCAAGGTCCCCATCTACAAGAATCCACCGGCCATGAAAATCTCTTACATGTAAACCCGCCTTATCTGATTTTACAACAGATATTAAGCTTTTATCAACCGGGTGCTCATGGTCAGGGAACATGATCAATTGGCCATCATCCTGTGTTGTTAAATTGTGGTGTTGTGCTCCCTGAAAAGAAGGCCTGCCATGACAGCACACAGATAATACTGAAGAAGATATTTCGCGGCTTCTTAAGGGTACATTATCAAGTACTTCAGTAAAGGGACAGCTTCGCAAGGTCAAGTAATAGCTGATTGCATCCAGTACATCTCGAGCTGCCCTGCCAAGCAAGCCAAATATGTCAGGCAAACCAGCCGGAGGAAACTCGATTCCATTGCTGGGCTCTGGAGGAGTTAGGCCTGGTCTGTAATCATAAGTTTCCTGCCATAGTTGGGGATCAGCATAGTAACCAGATGTTTTGCACCACTCACGAGAATCATTTGTCTGAATCATGTCTGCAGATGGGTATGCAGCCTTTTGTTGGAAGTAAAGGCAAGCAGAATCCAAACCAGATCTCAAAAGGGCTCCATCAGTAGCAGGAAATTGAATGATGGCAGCAGAATATTGTGCAAATGATTGTGATAAAGTAGAGACTGATAGCTTGTAAGAGTCTGAAGGAAGGCCTTCAGAGGGTGTGAGATCAGTAAGCTTTACACGACCCAGAGATGACAGGCCATTGCCTGCCATTAAATTCTTTCAATGTACAAACTACCAAGTTTCAAGAAATAGTTATGACCTATTGACAATAGAAATTAAAAGAGTGGCATCAGTCAAAGGCCTCAAGGCATCAAGTATCATCTATCATACAGGAAATAAACAAGAACGCATAATATGAAGCAGATGAAATATAAAAACAATCAATCAAAAGGATGCATAGTATGTTAAGGTCAAGGAAACAAAAGCAATCAAGGTATAACAGCTGAAAAATGCACACTAATTTTCAAATTTCGTAGTGGATTATAATTGGAAACTGAATTGACAGATTAACGCTATTGAAGCAGCCACCAGAATCCAATCTGATTTTTATACCAATTGGTAGCTTGTATTTCAACAATGAATTTTCATTTTTCATAACCTATTTATGTATGTAAATCTCTAATAAAAACTGTAATAAATCAAGAAACTTATCCTATCACAAACCATCAAATATTCCATTTACTAAGAAATAACAGCCAAAAAAAAAAGTGAACTTTGCTTTAAAATTTGAATTTTCATAATTAAAGAAAAAAAAAAAAACCTTAACAGATAGAAAAACCCATCAACGATCAACCCATAGAAATAAAATAAAAATAAAAGATTCGCAATTTATTTGTAAAAAGGGAAGTTGCCTTTTATTGAGTGAAGCGACTTCCTACAATAAACAGAGTGAGGCAGTGAATTGAAAGCTGAAAGGCTAAAGCTGTGAGTGTGAGCAACAAGAGAGGGAAAGGGAGATGGAATTTCGTCGGGAGTTACTAACATAATTGTTTATTGATAAATAAAAGGTGCTCATGGGCCCTTGCTTCGGAAACTCTGGCTGAGCCTCAGTTAGGTTTGGACTTACGGTAGATAGCTCAGGCCTAGTCTACAGTTCTAGATTTTTTATTATTAAAATAATTAAAATGTTTTTATACTAATGTTTTCTTTTAATGTATTATTCTTATCATTATTGAATTTAATTTAAATAGAAATTCATATTTATTTTCGATTTACTCTTATTATTATATAGAGATGCAAAGTGTTGTACGCTCTAATATGAACCCGTTTTTTATGTTGTCAATGAAATTTTTAAATTTTACAAATAAAATTTAAAAGTTAATAAGTTTTTTTTAATTATATTAATTTTTGAATATTTTAATATATCTTGTAAAAATATATCACTTTCCAAACTCTTAGAGCTAGTACTTTTAAATTGGATATGATGATAAAATTTTAAAACAAAAGTTTAAAATTCAGGCAAATCATAAGAATTTGACGTCACATTACCAAATCTACAAACTCCCTTATAAAATTTAAAATCTTCTTTAGCTATGGATGATCTTTATTAGCTATGGATGGAACAATTATCGTTCAAACAATGTCAAGCTGAAAGAAGTGAAACAATGTCTTTATCTAGGTTGGTTCCGAATGACCTTTAACCGTTGCTCACAATATTAAAAACATATGAACTTGTGTTTGATGGGAATTTGTAATAACTCAATGAAACTACTTCTGCAAAAGACAGATGATAGATTGTTCAGAAAAAGACAATGTTAAGAACCGATTAAGTAGATCACAACTCAAATAAATATTTTCGAGAAAGTAAATATAACCCTGCTATTACATCATTCACAAAAAATACAATCAGACTTAGGGGAACTAAAATCCGGTAAAATAACCTAAGTCTTTCGAGGAGGCGACCTACTGCTGCTGCTATTGCTGCGGCTTCTTCCTCTCAATGGCCTGCACATGTAAAAGCATTCCTTCGGATTATTATATTGGAAACCGCACTATAAGGCAATACTGATGAATTCAAAGTTGCCAGCATCAGGCCATCTTGGGCATAGGCAGAGAATTTTCAAAAACAAGTTCATCTGTTTCACTGACTAGCTAGTAGTTATGTGTTTCAGAGTGATCGAAACGGTTACAAATCTTTTATTGGATTATATAGTCAGACTCCAAACCTGTTTCTATTATCCATCTCAATGACTTCTATCAATGTGCTTGCACAGAACAGTCATGTTGATGCACTGTCCTTGCATAAATTCCATGGCTAGCACCCCAAAGTGTATGTTTCAAGATCATTCATGGTTAAAATTCTTCATGAAACAAGTTTGATGCTTGGAACTTATCACACGCATAGAATTCAAAAAACCTAAAATCCTCTATGGTAAAATTGTAGCTTTGCAGAAAGCATACATTATAGATTATTTGCCAACAATAAATCAATGCTATATTAGAAGATTAAAAGAACCATTATATAAAGTGCAAATTGTTAAGTAAAATATGAATAATAAAAAAAATAAAGAAATTACCTCCTAGGGCTGCGACTCCTTGAAATCCTCCTTGCTACCTGTCATAATTGAAAAAAAAGGGCCACATATTAAATAACTAGTAAGTAAGCTACTCCCCTAAAACACAAATAATAAACACAAACCTTCCGCGGACTGGGTGAGCTGGAATTGGATGATGACCTTCCACGTCTTGCTGCTGGTCCTCTGCCTCTGTTTTAAAGATAAAATACACAAGTAAAATCCCAACATCACAAGATTACAAACAACAGTAAGTTCCATGTTTTTTCATTAACAGTTATACCTTCTTCTTAATCTACTAAATTCTAGCTTTGTAATTAAAGAAAAAAAGATAGGCCCGAGAAGAGGGGAAAATATTATTACCACCAACAGTCTGACCCCAAATACATCATATTTTGGTTAATGCTCATATTGGCCAAGTCCAACTGAACATCAACGGGTAAGGGCATGTAAAGGCATGAAAGGCACCAGCACAAGTTCAAATTCACTCATTCGATGTAGTCAATCAAATCACTAGTAATTTCAGCCCACATAAATAAAATTAAATGAACTTCTCTATTTATTGTCACTTTTATTGAGAATATTTGACATATTGCAGGAAATGTTTAGAGAGATAATAAGAAAAGAAGACAAATTGTTTAACGCAAACTCAGCAGATGTAAGGGTTAAGGTACTAAGGTATTACCTCCGAGGTGAGATTGACCTTGAACGAGAACGAGCAGATTTACGAATTGGAGAACGGCCATGTCTACCACTGAAGGGAGACCTTCTAGGAGGACTACGGGCTCGTCTTGGAGGTGAACTGTAATTAAAAAAAAAAATAACAGCGTAAGACCCAAATTACGTGAAATGTTACAGTTGAACTAATTTGTCTGAGCTCATCCACACTTCATACCAACAAAAGATCAACACCAAAGTGTCACGTATAACAGCCAACAAGAGTAAGACATACTATGACTACCTTACTGACAATTCTGAGTATGGCTCTGATACATTATAATACTCTTGATTCCTCTGATTCAGTAAGATCTTATGCATTTATTCATTTGTTCACAGGTTGCAACCAGTTCACTTATACCTTAGGGCAATAAAATTTAAGCATTATGAACATTGCTAATATGTATTATTACCGGTGCCTTGGAGGAGGAGAACGTCTTCGGATTGGACTACCACGCATTCTACGAGGAGAGGTCCTGGGAAGATTAAATGGGTCAAATTCATTCCAAACCAATTCAATAACTAAACAAACTATTAGCCTATTACAACTATCAAACCTTGCTGGAGATCTAAGCCGCCTTGGAGGAGACAATGAAGAACGACCTCTAGCAGGAGAGATGGGCTGGCGCCTGAGAGTTGTTTCACCACGGCGATAAGGAGATTCTACACGACGACGAACTGGAGAATCTACTCGCCGCCTTGGAGACTCTGCTGGTCGTCTAGGAGATCCACCTCTTCGACCCACAGGCAATCTCCTTCGTGGTGAGGGCAGGGGTTTCCGTTGGCCAGAAGCTGATATCCATCAGTTAACAAGGTGAATAACATGTAATTAAGTAAATGTACAAGTAAAACATAAATTAAAAAGAAATTTTACTATCGTAAACATACATTGCCGTGGTCGTTTTGGTCCATCCCTCTCAATATCAGCATTGGTATTATCCAATTTTGGAGCATCTCTTTTAGTAACAGAAGCAATTGGCTTTGGCGGTGGAGAAACTTTTGGCTGTGGAGGAAGCGTAAACTTTGCTCTTACAACATTTCCATCAATCTGGGCCTGCATTTAAGCAACGAATAACGTTATTCTCACAAAATACTAACTCCAAAACTGCTAATAATTTTACTTTAGGCATCTTAGCAAAACCTACACCATCCATGTACAGTAGAGCTTTTTCAGCATCTGCTCTCGTCTTGAATTCAACATAGCCATATCCTCTTGGAAGATTAAGCTGATAATGTGAAACATGTAATAATAATAATAATAATAAAAAATACCAAGATATGACTGAATATGAACTTACAGCACGGTCCATTGCCAGATCCACGTTTACAACTTCCCCAAAATTACCTACAAAGTGGGAAGATGAAGACAATTATGATCAGCATTGAACTGTTGAAGTGTCTACATATTCATCCAAACATATAGCAAACAAAATAATATGCATTTCAGAAGTAGAAAACTATTATCCAAATTATATACAATCCTATAATCTTATTGAACAAAATGACATAGCAGTCATGGAGATCAAATGAATGCCTAAAAGAGGAATCCCCAAAACACATAAGATCATGTGAAAAGTTGAAGTCTAAAGTCTAAACTCCAGCCCTTTCTATTGCCCCCCTTGCTAAAGCCAAAATTAATATAATTTTAACAATCTTGAACTAATGCAAAGACGCAAATTAATAGTCTCAAGCCCTTAATGAAATGGCTTAAATGAACCCTTTCTTTGAAGCATCAATCCTAAAAAAGAAGCTGCTTTAATCACCTGTCTCCTTGCTGCACAAAATGAATGTGAGACTTATTACACAGGTTTGTGGGGTACCAATTTGGCAATTATCCCAGTGGACCTAGTAAATTAATCATGCACTCCATGCTTCTATATCTTTAGAACCTCCTAATATGTGGAGGCATATTTCATAATAGTTTTCCAAAAGCAATTTATGAGATCAAAATACAGGATAAAGTTTCTGGAACACAAGGACAACCTCAAAGGACATGATAAAACTCCTACAGCAAAAATATAGTTCAGAAAACATGATTTGCAGAAAAAACATAGAGGACATACAATAATCCTCAAAACTTCTTCTAGATAAAAGAGAGAATGAATCTCATTTAATTTTATAATATAACTGCAAAAATATCATGCCTAACAATGATTAAATGACCATATTCTTGGCGAAAAACCATATGTTACAACAAATATTAGAACAAAATCTACAGGCAAGTCAAGACAAAACTGATGATGTCCTCATACATCAACCAGGTTGTTTCGGTTAATTAAGAGTTCACTGATAATAGTCAGTATCATGTCACAAAGTATATAACACATCAATCTTTCAATAAAAGCGTTAAACACTAGGTTGTTGAAAGTCTCAAGAAGTATCAATTATTCTCAAGTATTTTTAAAGGTTAAAAGGTAAAGCACTTACTAAATATTTCTCTTAGATGGCCTTCATTGACATTCCGGCTCAGTGAGTCAACATAAAGAACTAAAGACTCGCAGATGGGAGAAGCTTTCCTGAAATCAATGCCAAGAACAATACAAGTACTTGAACATAAACTTCAATCCTTTCCAATTATTGTATTTTTCTTTTCATTTTTTCCCCTAGTCTGGAAATATAATCATACTGTTAAACTCCTACCCATATTATCAAATTAAACATAATGTATGTTTGCATATATAGTATATAAGACATCCAACCAAGTCAAAGTTTCTCTCGCAGAATTTGCTCACAAACGAAGAAAATAGGAAGAAATGAAAAATTCCCCATCCTCAAAACTAGAGAAAAAAAAAAAGCATATCCTTTGTTTCCTAAGAAACTAACTAAAATTTACATAACAGTTATCCTGTAAGAATAGCTAAAATTAAAAATTCTTCCTAATAGAATTGTTGATTCTTTCTACCCCAGAAACTAACTACAATTTAAATAACAGTTATCCTATATGAATAACTATAATAAAAACTTCTTCCTAAAAGAATTATTGATTCTCTATTCCACTACAAACCCAGATCCACTAACTTAAATCAGATTAAAAACAAGTTCCTTTTTTGTCTATTCTGTCATATGCTAAATCATGTATTATAAAACCTTTAAAAAATCCATTCCTACATGTTAATAATATGGAATACATGCAATACATAAAGAATAAAGTATAAGGTTCAGCAGAAATTTAAACTGACAATACTGGTAAATGTGAACTGAACACTGCTTTACCTTGGAGCTGGAGATGCTTTTTTAGATTGTGGTGGAGGGGAACAACCTCTCCTAGATGCATCAGGAGGGCTATGTCAAGAAAGAAAAGAAAACTCAGATACAAATATTAAACTTTCAAAAGGCTAGTAACCATATGCAACCAAAAAAAAAAAAAAAAGTGGAGGGACACCGAAAATATCTTATACTTGAGACACCAATATCAATAAATAGGATGGCAGTCCCAATAGCAGAAGGCATTTGAATCCCACAATCTAAGTTTTAATTCATTAAATGGACAGCAATGCCACCTCTGAACTTATAATTTTGATCTAACTCAGGTACATCATACACATATATTAGATTCCAACTCAATTAGTGGCCAAGAAAATGCCAGAACTTACACTTCCTACTGTTTCAAGCAACCATAACTCAATAAAGATAAATTATTGCATAAGGCGAGTTGGACGAACTAGAATCTGAGGAGCCAAGTTACTAAGTACCTTTTTAGGTAAATCATTCATTTCGGATATTAGCAACAATAAATTGTACTAACTTCAATACAATCAACACATGAACCAAAAATTGATATCCCTAAGATTCCAAAAAAAGGCTATGTTTGGTTGTTACTATACTACTTATTTCTATTTATTCTTGCTTCCTAAGAATTTGTAAAAAAGATCAGATGAAAACAATAGAAACCAAAGTTATAATTGAATGAAAATGCACAAAAAACTAAAATGCAACACAATTCTAACATAATTGTTCCATATAAAAAAAAAACACTGCCTTTTTATTCTCCAACTTTTTTTTTATATTCATACCAGTAAAAGTAACAACCAAAAAGTACCTTATCAGTTTAGAATTGAACTCTATCGTTTCCTTTTGCTATTAACAAAATGCAATTTTTTTCATTAAAATTTTCAAAACTTCAAATTTATTAAATCCTTAATGAACAATTTCTAGGGAATCAAAAATCTGAAGAGCGAAAAAAGAAGTGACCTTCGACGCTTAGAAGGAGGGCTGCGACTTCGAGAGCTAGCGCTGCGAGAAGGAGAGGAAGAGGAGAAGGATCTGGACCGAGAATGAGAGCTAGGTGGAGAAGCAGATCTGGACACAGACCGAGAGCGAGAGTTGGACTTGGAGTCGGAGCCGGAGTAAGAGCGGGACCGCGAAGGAGACCTGGACCGTGACCGAGAACGGGAAGAGGAACCGGAGCCGGAGATGAAGGGTGAGCGACGGCCTCTAGTCGGCTTTGCCATTGTGGGAACAAAGAGAACAGAACAGTCGAAACTCGAAACCCTAGATAAACCCTAGGGGGCATTGATGAGAGTGGCGTGAGGACGCGATTTATCTGCACCTATAAACAAAAACTTTTTTTTTTAAATTACTTTTGGCATTATCGCATTTTCCATTTTTTTACCGTATTAAAAAAATAAGATTATATAATTTTAAATTTACGAAAAAAATATAAAAATACTACATATTAAAATTTTGATAAAAAAATATATAATATTTGAAGTATCATATAAATTTGATATAATATTTTTATTTTTTATACATATTTAATACAAAATTAACATAATATAAATATATAAATTATCAAATTTAAAAAATATTTCATTATTCCTCGACTTTTATTCCAACACAACATTCATATGTGCCAAGGGGTGAGCATATATCGGTTCTAACCGATTTAACCGACCGAAATTATGAAATATGGTTATTTCGATTCGGTTTAATCGGTTTTCGGTTGTAATCGATTTTAAGATTGGTTCAATTAGTTAAATCGGTCGGTTATCGATTTTTAAAATTGATAACCGAATTAATCGATCTTATAATAATTAAGGATAAATATGTAAATTCTCTTTAAAAAAACCTAAATTTAACTTACCTTTTTTATAACTCATCAACCCAGCCGTTTCCTTTTTCTGCTCTTTGCTCTTCCTCTGTTGCAGTTTACTGTATCTCTGCCCTTTGCAGTTTGCTCTCCTTCAATCTCCTGCATCTTTGCCTCCCTCTTACTCTCTTGCTTGGCTACTTGCCTCATAATCTCTTGCTCCCTCTAATTTGCTACACAAGATCCACAGTTGTAAAGATCAATCTGCCCAAGACGCCATCGTAAGTTCTTAAATCTTAATAACCTTTATTTTTTCTTTTAGCGTGATGTTTAGAGCTGTATTTTTCCTGTATGTTTTAAGCTAAAGCATAACCCAAACAGCCAAACCTCAGCCCCAAGGTGTGACCACAGTAATATTTTTTTTACTGGTATTTTTCAGTAGCTTTTGTTGTTTACTTGTTTAGAGTGATTCGATAGATGGACATTATCTCTAGCCTGGAAAGAAAAGGTCTAGGACTTTCAGTGGCTTGTTTACTCCTCCAGTTGATTGACTAGGTTCTGGAACAAAAGGATCAAAAGTCAAAACCTTCCACGCCCCACGTTGGATTTACAATATCTGTAGCAAGCTGTGAAAATACTCATTTTAGTCGAGGAAAGCACTTTAACTTATAAAAATGAATGGAGCAAGATTTTTAATAACAGTTTCTGCCAGTTTCGACTTGCTTCGCTAAATTACCAAAAGAAAGCAACAACTATTCGGACTAAGACAATGTGGACAGTGGACTCAAGAAAAAGTAAAAGAAAATGCTATTTTTTAGCGTGAAAGCCGACTGGAGAAATCAATTAATGTGTGGTGAAGCGCACCTTTCTCAAATTGATGAATTTTATCTGCTGATTTAGTTAAGTCTATTCCCCAAGCAGAATTCAAGCTCTGCAATTATAAGATACTGCAAATGCAGCTAGAGACCAGGCAACAAATGCTACTCAATCAGCTCAAGAGTCTGCTCAGCAAAGACAGCAGCAGACTACTGGTTTCTTGCAGCAGACTGTTGGTTTCCTACAACAAACTACTGGTTTTTTATAACAGACTACTGGTTTCCTGCGTCTGCTGGTTTCCTGCAGCAGACTGCTGGTTTCCTGCAGCAGTCTGCTGGTTTCCTGCAGCAGACTGCTGGT